ATTGGCCGGCTCTGTCGAAATAACTCCTGTTGTGCTTTGTTAGCGGCATGCTGACACTGCATTGACAGCCTGGATTTGGTTCTTCATGATGTTAGCAAAAGCGCGTGCTATGGTAACACAATGTAATGGACTCAACGAATGCATTCAATACCTTCGCATCACTATGAGTCAAGGTTTGGCATTTGCTGGAGTTCAACGGGCAAACCCCATTAGCGTGACTACATGACACCAGCACCCAAATCGTTGCCCCTGCTAACAAGTTTCAAATCATTAGCAACAAATATAGAAGAGATACACAAGTAAAGGGGCCAAGTCATTTATAAATATAAGTGAAGCGTTCTGGAAATTTCCCGGTTTGCCTGTGTAAAATTCTAACTAAAATTATTTCATTGTACATTTAGGCGACCGGTATGGTTTGTTGAACTGATTGCCGAGTTCGAATGCTTGACTTGCACATCTACATTTTGCTTGGCGCTCGTTATGAGTGCAACGTGTGACTGCCTTGTGTGTAGTGAATCCTTCGTTCCCCTAGCTAGAGCGTAAACGGTGCCGTCTTTTATAGCTAGGCAACAGGGAATGTCTTATTGTGCCAATGAAAGTTTCCCTGCAACCCGATCTACCTTTTGAATCGTTCTCCGGGCTCCCGGTACAGGCTCCCCGCTAAATTGGTGACCCGACTCCGGAAGAAGCCGGATATACCAAACTTTCTCCGGTGAGGTCGTTCCATTTATTTTCGTGTTTTCCGGGTTAATTTTGTATACGGCAGCCTATTTTGCGTCATTTTTGAACAATGGATTCTGTAGACCCATAATTTAGTCTCTCATAAGCGCTGTAACTCTCTCTGTCCCTCCTGTTTGGACACAGATCCTCGTTTGTGGTTCGATCATCTTGAGGCTGAGTTCTACAACCACAGAATCACTTCTGACTACGTGAAGTATAGCATGCTCATGTCCTATCTACCCAAGAAGATATCAATGCAGGTTCGAGACGTTATCATTTCTCAGAGCGGAAACCGCTATGAGGCTCTCAAGGAGGCCACGATTAAGCGTCATGCCTCTGAGAAAGTTCGCCCACAGCAGCTTTACAAAAAATCTGCAGCTGGGTGACAAACTGCCCTCAACCCTGCCACGAGATTTGCAACAACTGCTTAGTTTTTCAACCATGGAAGAGACTTTACTTCGCGAACTATGGCTACAGTGACTACCAGAAAATAAGCAAGCGACTCTTGCTATCGTGAGTTCCGTTTCGTTCACTCAACTAGCAAGATTTAGTGGATCGAATTATTGAACGATCACAGCCACAAGCCGACGCCAGCAATATCAATGCCGTCGCGTCCCAGGGCACTTCTATCACTGGCTTACAGTCAACTATAGAAGTCCTGCAAAGACAAGTTGCGACACTTAGTCGCCAGGTTCAACAGCTTAGTATGAACCGTCGTCGTCATAGCCGATCAAAATCGACCTTCAAACGTCCCAAATCCAGCAACAGGTATGCATGCTGTTTGTACCATTAACGCTTTTGGTACCGCAGCTCGTAAATGTAGCGAGCCTTGCAACTTCGCCGAGAAGCAGGGAAAGCTCTCGACCAGCCCGTAACGGCGACGGACGGGACCAGCCAACACCAAAGTCGCCTCATCCGCGTTAGGGATTTAACTACTAGCACCGAGTGTCTAGTCGACAAAGGAGCCGAAGTTAGCGTTATACCCCGTAGCTCAGATGAGGTAGTCTCACCCTCGCCGATTGAACTGCATGCCGCCAATGGCACACCAATCGCAACTTTTGGCGAAAGGCTGCTAACACTCAAGTTAGGTCTCCGGCGAACTTTTCGCTGGGCTTTCATAGTAGCAGCCGCGCCTTTCGCCATCATAGGTATAGACTTCCTTGAATGCTTCGATCTTATCGTTACCGCTAAAAGGAAGAAGCTTACTGACTCTAGGACACAGCTGTGTTATCGGGACTAGCGCCCACGTCGCTGCTATTACTCCCATTCGTGTCCGACCTCAAGCTCCATAGTCTTTTATAGAATTTTACAACAAGCATCCTAAACTCGTTCGCATTCCAAACGATTTGCCTCCTGTGACTTCAAACGTCATGCATCACATTTGCACTAAGGGTCCACCTGTTTCAACCCGCTCGAGCAGACTAGCCCCGGACAAGCGCATACATGCTAAGGCGGAAATCGAGCAAATGCTCAAACGGGGAATAATTAGCCCGTAGGCATCACCACTACACATGGTGCCGAAGAAATCCGGTGACTGGCGCCCCTGTGATGACTACAGGACACTTAACAAACTTACCGTTCCTTATAAATACCTTATTCCGCACATGCACGACTTAACCTCAGCTCTAGCTGGCAAGTCTATCTTTAGCAAAGTCGGCCTAGTTCGCACCAACTATCAGATACGTGTGGTGCCAGACGACTTTGTTAAAACAGCAGTCATCACGCCATTCGGCCTATGCGAGTACCTCAGAATGCCTTCCGGCCTCAGCAATGCTGCTCAAATTCTTCAGGGTTTCATGCATGAGGTGACTAGGGAACTCGAAGGCGTTTATCCTTTTCTAGATGGGGGTTATCGTCAACCCCAATCAATGCGAGCTTGGCCAAAGCTCCATCGACTTTCTTGGCCACCGAATATTCGCCTCTGCTACTGAAGTTCTGCCAAACAAAATCCAGGCACTGAAGGACTACCTGCTCCTAGTTCTTTAAACAGTTACGCCAATTCTTTGGCCTGGTCAACTATTATAGACCCTTTATTCCTAATTGCGCGAGCATTGTGCAACCAATGTCTGACTTGCGCCGCCGTAACCAACGGTCTTTTCATTTTCCAGACGACCTTAGACTATCTGTTAATGAGCTCAAAGGCACTATCAACATAGCGCTTCTCGCCTACCGATACATCTAAACCACTCTCCCTGACAACTGACGCATCCGACACTGCCGTCGGTGTAGTTCTTCAACAAATAATCGACTATCGATGGATACCTCTAGGTTTCTTCTCGAAACGTTTACAACTTGCCGAATCGCGTGGCAGCACCTTCGGTAGGGAACTGTTAGCTATCTACCTAGGTATCAGATATTACCGTCACGGTCTCGAAGACAAATATTTTAGTCTTCACTGACCACAAGCCATTTAGCCTACTGCAATCGAATGGCCCCCTGCAACAGACAAGTATTCTCCGCTCAGGGAAACTGGAGACACCTAGAGTAGCGTTCCTCAGTTTACGATAGACGTACGAACATGTTCTCAGGTGCTCTCCCAATCCCCCGTCGACGCGATGCGCTTTTCACGCATTCATCAGCCATCAGAACTTCTCTGCCTGGCACACAACATTGACCTAGCCACCATGGCTGCTGCCCAACAAGCTGACCCTCACATAAACAAGATACGATGCAACACCACGTTGACAACTACAGACGAAGTTCCACTAGTTTCATATGAGGGGACCATTCTTTGTGACGCCTCAAACTTCTACATCGACCCGACAAGTGTCCCACTGTCGATGCGCACGACTTGTTTGTAAACGCTTACACAACCTGTCTCATCTCGGCATAGGTGCCTTCCGCAAGAAGCTTCGTACCGAACCGCTACGTATAGGTCCCCCAACGCTCAAAACGCAGATATTTGCCTTTAGAATACGCGCTATGCTTAGTGCCAGCGAGCCCAAGCGTTATCACAGTAAAAACACACACAAAAGGCCACCCACTTGGCGTCTTTCCCGCTCCTGACACTCGTTTTGCACACGTCCATGTCGACGTGGTCAGACCCTTTGCCCCCATACAAAGGCTACGGGTACCTCCTCACCTGTGTTGACCGATTCGCCCGTTGGCCGCAGAAGCGATTCCGATAGCAAGGTGCTCATTGACAGTTGCCCAAGCTTTCCCTAGAACGACTGGGTCAGCTCAATTCGGTTGCCAAAGCGTAGTCATCACCGACAGAGGATCACACTTTGACGGATCCTTCAGTCAACTACTCAAAGTCCTTAGCTGCCAGCACAACCGAACCATCGCATTCCACCCCGCAGGTAATGGGATGGTAGAAAGGTACCACCGGCAACTCAAAGCATTACTCTGTGCCCAATGTAGCACATCCTGGCACGAAGCACTTCTGCTCGTTCTCTTAGGTAGAAAAACGATTAGAGCGGATTTGCACGCCACTCCTTCTTCGCTATTCTTTGGATGCACATAACGCCTACCTGGTGAACCCGTCTCACCAAAAGCGCCAACAACCTTCGACCATGGCGACTACGCAGTCCGCCTATCTCATCACATGCGACAGCTTCAGCCTGTGCAACCTAGAGCACTAAGCGTGTGGACGAACGCTTAACTACTTGCACGCACGTATTCGTTCGCACTGACAGCGTACGCCGATCACTCCAACCTTCTTATTCTGGCCCGTACCGTGTCGTTCGCAGAATCCACAAGACTTTAACCGTTAACTACAATGGTAAGACTGAGACAATCAACGTCGATCGACTCAAGCCAGCA